GGATCTACACGAACTCGCAACGGCAGCGTCTGCAGCCCGCGTCCCTCGCGGACGGGAACGGCCCCTCCGCGAAGCTGCTCTGGGAGGGCTACTACAAGCTGCTGCGAGGGGTGCTCGCGGTGGATGAGGATCGCCTGGGGGGCTCACAGGGGGCTCCCGGGGCGGCCGCGGCGATCCCGGGCCTCGCCGAATCCGCGATGGCAGGCAAACGGGGGGAGGTGTGGGTGACGGAGTACGACCCGCACACCGGCCGGATCGCGCTCGAGCGGCGTTCCCCATCGCACCGATGGGGGCTCGTTTTCGACGGCGCCGGCCTCCTCGTCGGGATCGAAAACGCCCTGCGAAACGGCAGCGAGGCCGGCGAGCGGCTTTACTACGCCCTGCAGCAGAGCAAAGGCGCCGCGGGGATGGCGGTCCTGCAAGTCAACCGCCGCCGCATCCGCACCGCGAACCTCACCGCGGCCGAGTTGGAGTCGAAGCGGCGGGAGATTCTCGGGCGCCTGACGGACTGCCTCCGCGGCGACGGCCGGACGCTGCAGATGGTGGTGGAGAAGAAGAATCACGCGGAGCTCACCGCCGCGCGGGAGGTCTTCTTTGAAGCCAGCCAGCAGGGCGGGGAGCGCGGCGTCGGACAGCAGGTGTTGTTCATCCTCGAACGAGCCGCACCGACGATCCCGTGGGGTCTTAAACTCGCCGCGCTCCCAGACACGCCGCCACTTCTCACGAACTTCTCGGATAAACTGCAGCTCTCGAAGAAGGCAAAAAATTTCCTCTTCGACCACCGCGGGCGATTGCGGGTGGTGAGCGTGAACTACCGGGATACGCATCGACATTTTACGACGGAGCAGCTAAAGCAGTACATGTCGGAATCGCTTCTTCTCGCGCTGTGGTTGCAGGTGGCGGACCCACCAAGCGAAGGGATCGAGGACGCGTCTTTCTTTGGCGATGGGCAGTCTCCAAGAGAGGCCGCAGAGGACCCGGCGAGTTCCCTGGGGGCTGGAGAAGCCTATAAGGCTCCGACGAAGGCGGTGGATAAAGGGGCTGATAAGATTCGACTAGGCCATGAGGAGACGACGGAGCGGTCGGCTGGCGATGTTATTGACCGCGATACGAACCTTGTCGGAGACAAGAAAGGCCTGAGAGGCGCGGATGCTCTCGACCCTGAGGTAGATGATTGGACCATAGAAAAGGATTTACTCTCCGAGCAGGAAGACGACACCCCGGAAGACGTGCAAAATGGATCCCCTGAGCTCGATGCGGAACTTGCGGAATACGATGCTTTGGAAAAAGAGCTAGAGTCGTTCTCTGCCATGGAGGATTTGGAGGAGGCGAGGGAGGTTCCTGATGAGGGCTTACCAGACGAAAGTGACTCTGCTGAGCTTCAGGGTGCGGAAACAGAAGAGACGAGCCCAGAAGCGGACGTTTCAGCCGCGAAATCAAATTCAAAGAAAGATAAAGTGACATCCAAAAAAGATAAAAAGTCGAAGAAAACTCCCAAAAGTAAGAAAAAATCATCCACGAACGAGCGCAAAAAGAGCTCGAAGAGAGGGGAGGCAACGACTTTGGAGGATGAGAATGATGCTATCGATGAAGATGGAATCAGCCGCGAGGAAATAGATGAAGCCATAGAACCGTCAGGCGTGGGGAATCCCAAGACCCTCAACGACCGCAACGCGGCAGCCGACACGCCGCTAATCGAGCCGAAACCAACTTCCGCGGAAATTGCCATGCGGGTAGCCGAAGAAGCCCGCCACAACGCCAGTGATTCCTCCAAGACAAGGAAGAGTAAATCCTCCAAAGATCCAGAGGCCTTGGAGCGGGATGCAGCTCCTGGCGAGGATGCACCTTTGGTGGATTCGTTGAAAACCTCTGCGGAGGTGGCGATGGAGGCTGCGGGAAGGGGGGGTGTAAACGGCGAGATGCCGGCCGTTACCCCCTCCGCACCTTCCGACGCGGCGACGGCAGAGAATGCCTCCGTTTCCATCACACAGCTGCTGGCAACGCCCCCGCTGCGGTTTGACAACGAGGTGATCGCGAACAAATTCGACGGTAAGGTGCTGGAGCTCTCGCGGCCATCCACTGAGGTGCCGTGGAATATCAAAATGGCGTTCGTTGGCGACGAGGTTTTGCTGTCGAAGCTGCCGTCCGTCGGGAATGGGCGGAAGGATCATCCCTATCTCAGGTATCTTGGCGCGATGCCGGACGGCAACGTGCGGTGCTCGGTGGAATCCATGAATGGGGTGGACCTACTGATGGCTAGCAAGGTAGAAAAGGCGAAGCTAATGGACGCAGTAAAGAAGAGCACAAAGTTGTCTATGATTCTGAAAGTATTACGTTAATTTTGTAGTTTTTTTTTTTGCTCCACCATGCTTGTCTAGCTCCGTATGTAGGGGAAGATAAGAGGCAGAGGGAAAGGGGTATGTGATGTAGAAGCACTTCTTACCCGAGTGCTTCTTGCTTCCATGCATTTACGGTATACGGAGAATACCGAATGCAATGTTTGATAAGCTCAGATGCATCAAGGATTGCGTGTTCATAGAATTAACCGATAAATAATTTGGTGTGTATTTAGCTTTAGTATTAGATCGCATATTAGTACCATTCATCGATTAAATTCCTTTCTCTTTCGGCTATCGCTTCTGTGGTATATTAGAATAGGCCGACATAGATTTGATTATTTTTCCAACCTCGCACTCCTTAAATACAGTAGAGGATACCGACTCTTTGCCTTATTTAGGGCAAATCCCTTTTGTGTGTAATTGCATGTTTGATGACTACTTCTTCCGTCCCTCTTCCTTTCTATTACACAGCCCTACTGAGGCCATAGGCAATTTCAGACCTTTCAAAGATTGCAAAGGGAACTATTGAACCTCCAGCGTGAGTTGAGTGCCCTCTCATAGTTTAAAGGGCACATCAACTACTCATCGGTTACCATTAGGTGTGTGTGTGTGTGTGTGTGTTTGTGAGATTCGCTTTAGGTATTGGATACTTTTCCTTTACCTCCCCCGGTCGCAATCTCCACGTACCGCTTTTCGCCAGTGCCTATCGCGTCTTTGCTCAATCTCTTCCCAAACGCACCTCGCCTCATGTTCTCTTGCAGTCGTGTGGGGCGGACGGTTAGACTCGTATCCCTCACGTTGGTGGAGTCCCCGGCAACGGGTACGGCATCGCTCAATCTGCACCTCTCCCGCTCTAACCCAGCCCTTGCCTACGGCTTCAAACTCAAAGCCGACAGGACGCGGATCGACGAGGAGGCCACCCCGGCTTCCACCACGGCCGCTCCACGGCGTTACCGTTTAGTTGAAATCCCGTCGTTCGTGCACGCCGCGTCGCGTACGGTCGCGGCGCTTTTCCCCAATTCCCGCGTTTCCGAAGAGGGGGCCGTCTACCTCAGTGCGGTGAACGGCTACACCGTGGCTGATGCCAAGGGCATGATGCGCGCGCTCGTGGAGGGGAAGGACCACGCGGTGCAGCTCACCGTTGAGGGGATGCCAGTCCTGCCCCAAGCGCGGGGCAAGAAAGCAGCGAAGGGGCCCACCGATGATGCGGAAACGGTGGTTTCAGAAACGGAGTCCGGGCGGAAAGCGGAGGGAAAGCCCGTTAAAAAGGGCCGGAGGAAAATCACGAAGGCAAAAACTAAGTTGAAGGAGCGAAAGCCACGCCAAAAAGCGCCATCGGAAGTCGCCAAAGATACGACGAAGGCGAACCCAACGACCTCTGATGCGATCGGTGACAGCAACACCAACATGACGTCCGAGTTGTTGGGTAAACGCAGTTCTGACGCTACTGCAAGTGCGGCTTCGGATGGTGGACGTTCCACCCCCCAAACGCCCAAAGGCCGGAGAGGCAGGCCCTCAAAACGCGAGAGTGCGGAGAAGAAAGGGGAGACCGAGGAGAACTCGCCCGCGGAGGTGCCCCCCACGACCGCGGTCGATTCCCATGAGGCCTCGCTCGAAGCGGAGGCCATCGACGGCACGGCCGACGGTGGGGCCGGCAACCCCCTCCTAGACAGCACCGCAGCCATCATTCAGCTTACCCAGAGGCTCTCCACGCTCGCTCCGCCTCCCGAGACCGCGGGAGAGGGGCCTACGAAGGGAAAGGCGCGTGGTAAAGCGAAAGCAACAGACCTGCCGACGGAGGAGGGCACGGCCTGGTTTGGCAATCTGGCCTCCAAGGGTGGCGAGGGAAAGGCGCGTGAAAAGCCACCCAAGAGACCTGCAGATGGCTCGAAGCCAGCAAAGGCCCGCCAGGCATCCTCTGGGGCGTGGAATGACGGTGAGGGGGAGGGGAATGCTACTGCGAATAGATCGCACGTCAGGAGGCGTGGTACCAAGGGCGATGCTCCCACCTCCGACGAGGAGGGACCTGATAGTAGTGAATCGTTTACGATGGAATTATAGACTTCGGTTTTTTCCCCCATACGGTGCATGATCGTCGATGAGTTGTGGAAGCTCACTCATCCACTTTCTGTATATGTGTTTTTTGCACAAAAAGCCAATAGACATATAAAAATTGTCTACATAGATTAATAGAGTAGTTCATTCATCTTCTCCCCTCAAACTTTGCCTTACTTATTCCTCCTTTCTGTACCTTTTTTTTTGACGATTCTCTGTAATTATATTGCTTTTACCTTAATAAGGTGCTGAAATTTATCGATATAGACGAGTTGGATTTCTAAAAATCGTACCAAAAAACGAAGGATGGGGTGACTAATGAGTTCCACAATCAAAAATGATACATAAATATGTATCTTCATTAATCGAAGCCGAATAAGGATGAGTTACCCCACGTGCGGATGTTCCTACAATCGCTTACATATTCGCATACACTGATCTAACTGAAAAGTAGTAGAAGGTGGGATGAAATTCCTATTGGTGGTTTTTGCAATGGTACAGATTGAACGATTGCAAGACAGTGTGAAGGGTTTTTTATTATTTTTTGGATGTTCCATATGTTCGATACTTTGCACTCATTTACTCTTTATAATGATGCTACTACGAGTAGTAATATTATTGATTCTATAGTATTATAACAAGCATAGAGTCAAAAGACAACTTGTAAAATTATTTATCAGTATATAGAGATAGACTGCCTGCTGAGGGAGTGCGTGCAACGACTGCCACGAGGCAAATCGAAAGGCTTTCCTATCATCTTTCTTTTCCCACCGCGATGACGATTACGTCTCCATCCGGTGATGTCAAGGCTGGTGATACGGATATACCCAACGCGGCGCGTTTGGCGCACACCCTCGCCCGCCTCCGGGGGTGCCGTGAGCCTGCCGAGCTGATTTACCGTAAGGAGGGCCCCCCGTTATTTTCCGACGAGCACCCCTCCGCCGCGTCGACGGACTACTCCGTGGTTGTTGCGCGCCGCATTGCCATTCTCGTAGGGCGTTTGAGCGCGCTTTCGGATCCCGCGGTTCAGGCGGTGCGCACGCCGCGTGCGATCCTGCTGGCGTTGATGGAGGTCGTCCGCGAGGCGTTGAGGATGGCGATGCCCCCCCTTTCTTTACAGG